AATTCCCCAGCCAGCAAGGCTAGCTGGGGAATTCTGGGAGTTGAGGTCCACACAGCTTCAAGCTGCCAAGGTTGAGAAACATTGGTGTAGATGTTTCTTACATGAAATGTGAGGTGGAAACTCATGATCCTAATGGAAGTTTCAAGATCTTTTTCTCTGACGTTGATCCTGTATTTGCCTCCTTTACTTCTCAGTGGGGCAGAGGGTAGGATCTGTACCTCTATGCATCTGTACATTTGATTTAATTTACTTTAAGTTCTTTGTGATCCGGGATTGGTCGCCAAAAATTAATGTTTTTTTTAAATGTAAAGAAAAGCACAGGCTGGGATCACACTTTGCACTAAGTCATTAGAAGTTTTATTTGGTTTGGGTGCAGCAAATTATGTGATTCTAGCTATTCATGATTTGCAAACTGAAACCTGTGGTAAGGGTGGGCGGTTTGAGGTTGTGGGACTGTAAGCTCCTGTTTGTGCTTTAAAGGCCTCTCTGACTCTGATAATCTGATTGCAACTGCAGTGTCCTAAAATACCATATTCAAATAGAAAACAAAGCAGTTCCCCTTTTCTCCCCAAATCCCCATTTCCCACTCCTAAAAGGTAAAGTCTGACCCTTGACCACCATAGGCCTATTGCCTCCTTTAAAAAAAAAAAAAAAATTATGCTTACGCAACACAATCTTTGCTCTTAAAAATATTTTAAAAACAAACTAAAAATACAAACTGAAAAAGAAAAGAAAAACATCTACCTTATATTTTATACTTATCAATAGTCACTTGTTTATTAATGAATTTGCTACTATAATATGAACAGTACATAATATGCTCGTGGCTTAGCATGTTGAATAAACCCACAATCGATGTTTTATTTAACAAACCATGCCTGAGCGCAATACATTATTTATAGCGTATTTATGTGAGGATGAATATGCTGGATGTGTGAGATATATATATTTTTTTTCTTTGAATAGAAATTCCACAGTCGAACTTCAGGCGTCTGCCTTTCGATCACTGTAGGTAAGCTTGAAAGAAATCGTAGTCTAATATGCCAATTCCTTCCTTCATACTTTCATAGGAATCTTGAAAGCTGCTTTTAGTTGGAGTCGATATTATATGGGTGGGTCATCCATCTCTGTGCGTTGGCTTAACCTTATGCCAAACGGGTTCACTGTGCTCTTTTACACTGAAATGGAATTTTTTCTCTCCTTGCTAGCTTATCTTTGCAGCCATTCGAATACCCAGTTTGTACGCCAGATGGGACCATCTTTGACTTGCTGTAAGTTATTTTTATTCCAGTCTCTCTCTCTCTTTTTCAGTATTGATCTTTTAAGAGAGTTGGGATTTGGGTGACATACCAAAGTTAGTTCTAGATAAGGTGGGGATGATGTTCTGCCAAGTGCCTTCGGAGACATCTTCTGTTTGTGAGTTATTCTGTAGGGCTTTCAAAAAGTCTCCCATTTATTGAGCCTTGACTTGTTTAGTGATACTGATGGCAGCTTTGGATGGATAGAAAAGCTCAATTGAGGCATTGTGTGCTCCTGTCCCAGGACACGGTCTGAAAAATCCGTTGTGCAGAACCCATACTGGAACGAAGTAGATTTGCCTAGAAATCCCACAGAGATCCCATTGAGTTCCATGGAAGAATGGGTGGAATATATTTACATGTAGAAAACAATGTTTTCTGACTTTCCAAGTGGTTCTGACTCTGTGTCTGCGTTGTTTTAGGAATATTGTTCCATGGATAAAGAAGTATGGAACGAATCCGATCACGGGAGAGGTAGGTATTGCTGAATTTTAAAAGCCCAAGACCACAGATAACAAAACCTCAAATAATGAGGATTTGAAAAAGCAGGTGTGAAAACCCATTTCCCATTTTGCATATGTATGAAGTAACAAGAAACAAGCCCCAAATATGTCAGTCCTTCAGGATAAGCCAAATCAGGAAACAAACACCACAAGGACTACTGGAACTCTATTGTTGCAGAGTATAACAGAATCTTGAAAGCTTGACAGAGATTTTCTCTTTCCCTTCTTACATGAAAGAGAATCAAAGTGGGGCAATCTTGAGTTTCTTCCTTACTTCCTCCTCTCTTTTGGGGCTAAGTTGGTGTTTATCTCATGGCTGTTGAAAATTTCCTTCAAGGCCACCTCAGTTCTTCTCTATAAAACCACAGATACATGAATACTAAGTTCTGGCCTTTTTCTAACACCATAGATTCAAGAAACTGTGGGTAATGGAATGATAACAAGACCCAAGGCTTTTAGAGCCTTATTTCATCACAGTTTGTGCTCCTCTTCCAGTGAAAGGCAGAAGAATGCAGGACCTTATGTGCACATCCATGCTCTTGGATGATTTCCAGAAGAATTGCTGACAGCCTTAATAATACTTCCAGGGGATCTGCAGGGATTTTAGAGTAGTGTTCCGTGTTTCATGGTGAAATCAAGTTACCCCCACAAAAAGGAGTGAAACTTGAACCTGTGGTTGCAAAACACAAGGGTTGCTTTTTCTTTAAACACAAGAGGGCAGTCGTGTTGTTTGGCCTGAAAAGTTTGGCCAGATCTCTGGATTTGCAGAAGGATACCCATGTGTTCTGTGCTGTTTCTGTTCTTCATGGCCCTGTATTTGGAGATTGTCAGGCCAAGTGACTGTTGATTCCTGAGGATGTTTCTGGGAAGATCTGTGAGCCAGGGGTACTTAGATTGCAAACCTATTCCTTCTGTCTAGGGGGGATTTCTGCCCCATTTAGTCCACTGCCCATTCAGAGCGGGAAGTCCAGAGACGAGGCAGCTGCCAGACTCTGTTGGAAGATCTTCAGTGAAGGAGGCCCTCTTTTTATGGTTGGTCTAATAAAAATTGCAGGTTGAACCTTCATAGGGAAGATTAAGACACATCCGCACCTTAATTCAAGTGCCGTGGATGTGACGGATAGGGCTGTTGTAGTCCATGCAAAAAAGCCCAGGATGTAGTCTCTTGAATTAGGAGTGGATTCTCTTTGTGAATTAGGATGATATTGTTATTATTATTTAAATTTATATACTGACTCCCAGGGACTCACCACCCACTGGTAGTAATTTCAAGCCAGTTGACTCTACACTAGCAGCAATCAACGTTTTTTAAACCTCTAGAGCAGTGTTGGGGAATTCTGGGAGTTGAAGTCCACCTGTCTTAAAGTGGCCCAGGTTGAGAAACATTGCTTTAGATCATTCCTGAGAATTGCCTGTATGTGTGCAACCCTCACCTCCACCAAATCTGTGTACACTAAGCAGTCATCTTTGCTGTCCTTGTTCCATGTTGAAATAGTAGCATTCTGCGTACTGTTACGGGCCTTAAAATCTGATCATCAGTTGTGTTGGCTTAGTATTTCAGATTTAACTATTTTTTGCCTACCTGAGTGTTGTCTAGATCTGTTGGGATGTTAATTCCCAGCTTGCCAACCTACCCATAGCTTAGCACTGGGTGTGGACTCGGCCACTGGCTTTAGACCTCCCTTCTTTCAGCTAGATGTTGCCTAAAAGGAATACGCTGCCTTTTCAGCAAACAGAGGTTAAGACCTTGGAAGCGCGCACGAGGCACAAATCTAGACGCTTCTTGATATTAATAGCTTTGCGCCTGTCAGCTGTTGAACGGAGTGGGGATTTGCAGTTATAAAGGACTTGCGCAATTGTTAGGGCAAACCCAACATCTCAGCCCAGTGAGCGACATGCCAGATACACAATGCAGCTTGCAACTTTCATAGCCGGCCAGCAGATCTGCCCAACTGTCTGGCTGCAGTTATTTCCTTTGTCGGCAATCGTTTCTGTTATCCTCTGGATCCTTTTCTCTGAAAGGGATTTTTGAAAATGCAGTCTCCCCACCCCCACCCCCACCCCGATCTCTGCAGAACCTAGCCTCCAGCCTTTCGCAAAATATCAAAACAGGAAGTCCTGGTTTGAACTCCAACCTTCATCTCCAGCAGCTGCAAATAGCCTGTCTGTACCGCTTAGGAGCCAATCTAGCAGATCATCCTGCTGTTTCGTGCTCCTGGGCTGCCCTCTTGTTGTGTCCAGGCAGCACCCGCGTGAAGGCTTCAGAGGACTTTCTAGTGGTTTCCAAGCACTAACCAGGCATGAAGCTGGTTCATTTTAGCGCATTAGCTATACCAAGAGTGTCACGCTGAGGCCACCACAATCAACAATCTTGATAGCTAGAAATTCTGGGGAGGTGCCGGCTTGGGGAAGATTGCAGTAAAGCGTGTGTGTTTGTATGTTTGTGTGTTTATTGTTGGGAGGGAGGTTGCATAGTTTCCACATTGTACATAATGGTTTTAGGGGTGGTTTGGTCAGTCAGATTTAAATCTGGGCATGCAGCTTGACGAAGGGGTTATTTTTGCTTCCTTGTCCTGCATGGGAAAATTGGGGAGTGAGGGGAGACATTGGCCTTGCAGACTCTCTCTGTTGACTCTGATTTTGCACGCGTTGCCCCATTCTAGGGTAGCTGAAGCCTGTCCTAGGGCTTTCTCCCTTTCCCGGTTTAAAGTCTCAGGAAAGCCTTCAGAAGGCATTAATCTCCCCCGATTTTCTCCGCATCTCTTCACTTGCTCGCGTGCCGTGGTCCCCAACCACCTTCTGTGCTTTTTGGATGGCCGTGCACCCGCCCTTGGCTTGTTCACAGCAAAAGAGATATTCCGGCTAAACTGCGATGCCAGATCCATCATCCTAAAATGAAGCAAACCCAATTGCGTTAGCAGGCATTTGTGGTAGGTTTGAGTAATATATTAAAAGCCAGTGGGAGGTTGCTTGCTTTCTTCTCATTAAAGAAATTGGGATGAGTTGGCAAACACTCTGGAAGGAGAAGAGACCAAGATTGGTTTGTCAGGCAGGACCTTGATGAGGACAAAATATTCCCTGTGTGTGTTACACAATTCCTTCCTTCCTTCCTTTCTTCGCCTTTCCCCCAAGATTTCCTTTTCTTTTTTTGATTTTCCTATCATCTGCAGATGGGAATATGATGCTTATGGCCAAACAAGGAAGAAATCTCATTCATTCATCTTTGTGATTTCCTCTCCCTGCTCAGGAGAGATACTATAAATGGAGAGTTTGAGAATCAGGCCTCTATTTTAAAAAATTGAATCTTGTGCAATGTATGGCCATTCTTCCATTACTTCAGACCTTTTATGAGATTGTGTGTCCATTGGCTGCCTCATGGGGATTTCACTGATTTTAAAATAATTTGTTCAGTTTGGCCAATCCTGGTCTAAAGTTTCCATATTAGATTATTTAAAAAAAAAAAAATTCTGGAAACCTCCTGAGTTGCTGATAAGTGCCTCTTCTACCTAGATTTTGGCTATACAAAAAGTGTCACAGCTAGCAAGTTCTTCATTTGCCAATACGTAATAATATTGACATTTCTTTGATTGTTATAGGCTCCCCAGAGTTGTTGAGAGTCGCGTGGCATGCAAATTTAATGTTGTTGTCCGCAGGGGAACTGTCAGACCCGGATCATGCTGACAAGCTGCAAAGATGTGTGATTTTTTTAAAATTCTGCCCCGTTGTCAAACAGTTCAGGTACTTACTCCTCTGATCCAATCAATCTTTATTACAGTCATAGATCAGCACATTCTTACTCTTCTACTTTCATAGCAATCTGGGACTTCCAGGAATTTGAACTCGAATCTTCCTGATTCTAGCCTGCCCTCCTCATCACAACACCACAGTTGGATCTCTAGGACAGGAGAATCCCCCAGGGTATAAAAGTCAAGTTGTAGATTTCTGCCTTAGCTGCAGCCTCTGAACCGACTTGAAGG